AGCATCTATTATATGTTCAAAACTATTTTAGATGCTATATATTTACCACTTCATTTAATTCATGACATTACTCTATGGAATAGATAATATCCTCATTTTGCAGTTAAAGGAACTAATACTCTGAGAGATTAATTTGGATCTATGAGCAATGTTGACATTTTAAAGTAGAGGCAGAAGACAACTTAGGATGCTTTGCAGTAATTAATTTGAGTGGAATTGTTGGTCTGTGAGCATAGAAAGTGAATCTCTTGGGAAGATTCGACAATGTTATTGTTTTTGCCTAAGTAGCTTTTTCCCTCTACTCCCTCTTTTCACATGTAAAATGTAGATTTACTGAGGCTAATTAGAGACTCACAAGAATGTAACCACTTGTGTCATTGTCTACCCTCCCTCCTTTTTTTTTTTTTCCTCTTTCCCCTCCTGCTTACTGTTTCTTTTTTAAATACTGAAGTTCTCAACACTCTTTTTGGAAAAAGCTTGGATCACAGATGCTCCTGTGATTTGTGTCTTCCCCAGGGTGCATCCAGAGCATTGGCAAAATAAATCTCTAATTGATTGAGACCTGCCTCAGTCACTTTTTCGGTTTACAATAACATTTCCTTCTTTTTAAAGCCTGAATAGAATTCCATTGTGTAAACATTACAACATCATCTTTACCCATGCATGTGCTGAATGACACAGGTTGATTTCGTACTTTGACTATTGTGAATAATGCCGCAGTGACCATGGGAGTGTAGATATATTTTCAACATACTGATTTAAAATCTTTTGTCTGTATCCTGGAAGTGGCGTTGCTACATCATGTGGCAGTTCTAGTTTGACTTTTTGAGGAGCCTTCATACTGTTTTCCCTAGTGGCCGTACTAATTTACATTCCCACCAACAACGTGCAGATGTTCCCTTTTCTTCAAACCCTTGTTAACACGTGCTATTTTTTTGTCTTTTTGATGATAAGCCAACCTGTAAAGCATGGATTGATATGTCATTAAGGTTTGAATTGAATATCTTAAGTTTTCCTACTTAAAGATATAAGAGTATTCTCCCCCCAAAAATTACTGCTAATGTTGCTTTTTGGCATGAACCATGCATGACTTTGAGGTGAGTTGGACACTTGAATTCTTGAGTACTTGGACATGAGCTTAAGTGGGACTGAATTTTTTTTTTTTTTTTTTGAGACGGAGTTTCGCTCTTGTTACCCATGCTGGAGTGCAATGGCGCAGTCTGGGCTCACCGCAACCTCCGCCTCCTGGGTTCAGGCAATTCTCCTGCCTCAGCCTCCTGAGTAGCTGGGATTACAGGCATGCACCACCATGCCCAGCTAATTTTTTGTATTTTTAGTAGAGACGGGGTTTCACTATGTTGATCAGGATGGTCTCAATCTCTTGACCTCGTGATCCCCCCGCCTCAGCCTCCCAAAGTGCTGGGATTACAGGTGTGAGCCACTGCGCCCGGCCCGAAATTTAAGCTGAATATTAGTTCCTCTCTCTACTGGTAAGAACTTGTAGAAGAAGGAGACATTATAAAGATCTCATAGAGACATATTTAAGGGTTGTCTGAGAATGAAGGAACATGGTGACTACAAATCTAGAAGCTGGAAGAAAAGTTATCTCTGGAAATATCCCAGGCATCACTAAAAACCACAAGTAGAGACAAACAGGTATGCAAAAAGTGACGTGTCGGTTAGTGGAATCACCAGTGGTCCAGCTGAGGTGATGAGTGGATGAGACTGACTAAAAGAAGAAACCTGTAGAAACAGGTGAGGAAACAAATCTCCATTGTACAGCAGGTCCATAGCAGGCAGCCTGGGTTTTCATCCTGGTTGTCTTCTGTCTTCAAGAGTTTTTTCCAGACAACATGGGAAGCCATGGGACTGGTGGGGTCTGGACTCCTTTGCCAAGATCACCCACCTTCCCCATTTCCCCCAAGTGTCCCAAATGCCTTGTATCACCTGATTTTCTATCTTCCTGTTAAAGCTTTTCTGACACTCTTAGTCCTTCACCCTGTGGCATCCTCCAAGTCCTTACCTGACTTCCACTATGGAGTTTCCCCATGGCCACTTGCTTGAAGGAGGCACTGTTTGAGCCCAGCCCCTGAATGCTACTAATTTAACTCTTTTTTCAGGTTTTCTAGGCTGTCATTTTAAAGAGACAACTGTTTAAAGAGGAAGGGTCTACTTCATAGGTGTCTTTAAAAAAATTTCATGTAACTGGTCATCTAAAAGTTGATATAAGGGAAATATGTAAGTAGCTTCATGAGGTTTTGAAAAATTTAGAGATAATTGCTTGATATATTTTTATTAAAGGAAAATGATATTCTAGGGCAGTATTTCTAATTATGTTACCACTGGCATTAAGGAGGCCACATAACCTTTTTGAATGTACAGTGTTTCTTGATTCTGAAAGTAATTGCAGAATAGAATCCTGGATAACCCTTCTGGTGACAGGATGACTCCACATTTACCTTCAACTGCATTGACCAGGCACAGATTCTAAGAGATGCTGACCAGGGATGATTTTCGCTCATGTTGTCCAGGCTGGAGTGCAATGGCACAAACTTGGCTCACTGCAACTTCTGCCTCCTGGGTTCAAGTGATTCTCCTGCTTCAGCCTACAGAGTAGCTGGGATTACAGGTGTGCACCACTACACCTTGCTAATTTTTGCATTTTTAGTAGAGACAGAGTTTCACCATGTTGACCAGGCTGGTCTCGAACTCCTGACCTCAAGTGATCTGCCTGCCTTGGCCTCCCAAAGCGCTAGAAAATTATAGGTGTGAGCCACGATGTGCAGCCTCAGATGAGGTTCTTGCCCATCAGAAAATGGCTCTAAGCTGACACATTTGTTGCTAGTTGAAAAGCCTGCATGGCCAGGCATGGTGGCTCACACCTATAATCCCAGTGCTTTGGGAGGCCAAGGCGGAAGGATTGCTTGAGGCCAGGACTTTGAGACCAACCTGGGCAACATAGCAAAACCCTGTTTCTATGAAAGTTTTTTTAAAAATTACACAGAATGATGGTAGTCCATGCCTGTACTCCCAGCTACTTGGGAGGCTGAGATGGGAGAATCACCTGAGCCCAAGAGGTTGAGGCTGCAGTGAGCCATGATCATGCCAATGTACTCCAGCCTAGATGACAGAGCCAGATTCTGTCCCTAAAAAAGAAAAGAAAGAAAAGATGAGAAGAGAAGAGCAAAGAAAAAGGAAGAGAAGAGAAGAGAAGAAAAGAGAAAAGTCTGTGTGAAGAGGCCTGTGAGACTGGGGAATCCCTAGGTTGGATGCAGTCTTTACCTCATAGCCACACAATAAACCTGAGGGAAATTTCTCCCTTTGAACAGGAAGGAGGGGAAGAGCCAGAAGTCTCTATTCTGAGGGACGCTGTACTGGGGATGAAGAGGACATTGAGGGCACCTTCAAGTCCCTCTCTGCCTATTTTTTCTTGCCTCCAGTTGCACTCTAGATCTGAGTTTGATGTTCCTCCTTTAGGCTTCCATTGCAGCAGTGGAGACCCTCCTTAGACTGGGGTTACCCTGCTCCTGAGTACACCACCGCTGCCAGAAGCCCAGTGGCAACTTCCCCAGTCTCAGGTGATCTAAACCTATGCACAGAATAATACGGGATATTGGAGTCACTCAGTGCTTTCCCGTGCCACTATTCAAACCTCTTCTGCTTAAGTAGAAGCAAAATCTTGCTACTGTCTCTTCCCTGTTTCTTTTCACCTGGTAAGCTTATATTCTGCTTTTAGAGCCTATTTTCTACTTTACTAACATATAAGGAAGAGTGGGGGAGGAAGGGAGAGAAGAAGAGAGATGGAGATATTTATTTTCTTTGTTAGGGTTCCAATAATATTTGTTAGGCATTGTTTTAATTGCTTTATAACCATTAGTAGTGCCCCTAGCCATGGGCAACAGGAGCCTGATAAGTAGTAAATTTATTATAAAAACACATTGGTATCTCTGGCATTTTGGATGTGATGTTTAGGGCTGGCCCAATACAATCTGTAACTCTAAACATTTGCTCCATCATTAATACGATTCAGCCCCAGGCAATCCTTCTCTACAGCTTTTGTTCTCTGTCTTCAAAACTAAATGGGACTGTATCAGAATACTGTAAAATTTGTGTATTGTCCTTTACTGATGTCAGATGCACCTGTTTCATGGTTCAGGGAGGATTTAAACAGCTGAAGAACTTAAAATAGAAAAGTCAACAAACACTTTCACTCAAAGAGCATGAATGCAATACATTCTTGCATAATGAAGAATCACTTGCCAGCAGGGCTGGGTGTCAACTTGTTTTGTTTTATTTATTTGCTTTGTTTTCTTGTTCCTCCAATTAACTTGATAGTTACACATAACAGTGGAGGAGACTTTTGTAATGTTAAGCAAGTCATATTAATCTTAAATTTGTGTATGTGAAGATCTAGATGTAAAATACATGAAACATGATCCACATTTTGCAAAAAGAAGCCTGGGACAAAGAGTTCGGTAATTTGCTGACTCTTAGAAAGCTCATTAGTGGTAGGACTGCAACTCACCATCATTTCCTTCTAAGAACTTTGCTCTTTTCACCAAAACTTAAGTCTCCTCAGAGTGTCTAAGACAATCAAAGTGAACATTTCTGTGACAACAATTTTTTTTCCCTGAAATATTATCCCCACTTAATTTGCCTACTAAAAATCCCAAGTATAAGAACAATAGTTTGTAAGACGTCTACTCTTGAATCACATTTGTCTTTTGCTGCTTAAAACTTATTTGGAAATCTTCACCTCAACTGCTAGTGCAATTTGAAGAAGAAACAGTGCCAGGCATTGGAGTGAGAATCTTCACAGAAAAATGTCTGCCCAGAGGCAGATGAGGTCCTTCAGCTCCGGTGCTGATTGGTTCCTTTCCTAGGGACTCTCCAATCCTACCACGCATGGTAACATCCAGAGGTTTTTACTGTTTCCGGCAGTACATAAAATCCATTAGGTTTGAGCTGTGTTGACTACCACTGCTTTTTCCTTGGTCTCAATTACGTCTTGGAAGATGGTTCTGCAGCTCCGTAGAGGCTTTCGGGCAGCAGCTGTGACCTTGATGCTGGTGATGCTGAGCACCCCAGTGGCTGAGGGCAGAGACTCTCCCGGTAAGTGCAGGGCAGATGCTCTGGAGAGCCGACACTCTGGGAACAGGCTCTCCGTGGGCTGGGGTATGCGGGTGGTGACCTCTATGATCCCAGAACATAGTCTTTTATCACCATTTATTCTTTTTGGGAAATAGAGCTATGTTTCATTCTTATTTTCACCGTATAATGGGTGAGGTGAGGATAATCCAACCCCAATTTCATAGGCTTAAGCCTGGAGGAGGAGAGAGGAAGGAGGAGACAACGTGTGCCTTTACTACTCAGGACAAAGTGGCCATGGAGTTATTTTTGATGATATGAATTTCCCCAAAGACACCATAGGATTTGCCATTTCAAGGTACCCCAAGACTTACCTAGACTAAATATTATGGGATTCTGCACTAGGAAATGTAAGGCAGCAATGGTATCTGTAGTCTCAGTATTTGACTTGACTGGAGAGTTTGTGAAGGCAAACTCATGATACTAAGGGAAGGTGACTGGGTGACCACAGATGTTTCACTGATTTATGGGCAAAAGGTGACTTGAGTGGGATTCAGGGACCTGAGCTGATGATAGACTGAATTTAGTATGATAGAAAGGAGGATGTAAAGAAGGGAAATAATACATATTGAGAAGCCATTCAGACACAGGACAGTACTTTATATAAATTCTCTCACTCCTTCTAACATCCTATGTGTAAGTATCATGGTTTTCCTTTTACATGATTATACTTGTGATATGAATATTCTGTTAAGTAACGGGCCCAAGCTGGTGACTGACTCAGTTTAGTTGGACTCTATAGAATTTGGAAGCTTGGGCTCTTTCCATGAATAAATGTTTCTTTCTAGAACTCCGGAGGTGTAGGTCCTTTCTAACACAGAAGTGAGTGAACCTCACCAGGCACTTGGACGGGTATAGCAGAAAGAGAGTAAATCTAGGCATGGGAAGAAATGTATTTTGCCCAGGGACCAAGAGAATACTTGTATCAGGACGAGAACAAGTTTCGTTTCTGAACCTTCCTTGTCATTCCCTTGAATTCTCAAATTTATGTGAATAACTGTGTCTGTAATATACCCAGGAACTCCATGGAAAATGGGATTTCACGCGAGAACGCCTGGATCTAAGCGCAGAGGTCAATGTAAAATCCATCCGACTGCCCTCTTCACTTGATTCACAGGCTCAGGCAGGGACTGGGCTTTTCCCATTACCCTCCCTAAAGGAAGCAGATTCCCGAGGCCCCGGAGAGGGCAGGCAGGGCTCCCTGGAGGATCCCAGGTCCGAGCACTAGGCACGGGGCCTGGCCAGGAACCCGAAATCGCGCGGACAGGATTCGCAGCTGCTGGTCAGGGCGGCGGCTGGGGGTTGGGTCTGGGGGTTGGGTCTGGGGGTTGGGTCTGGTGTCAGGGCGGCGGCTGCAGGGTGCGGTCCGGCTGGGGGTTGGGTCTGGGGCCGGGAGGGGCCTGACTGACCCGCCGCTGATTCCCCGCAGAGGATTTCGTGGTCCAGTTTAAGGGCATGTGCTACTTCACCAACGGGACGGAGCGCGTGCGGGGCGTGGCCAGGTACATCTATAACCGCGAGGAGTACGCGCGCTTCGACAGCGACGTGGGGGAGTTCCGGGCGGTGACCGAGCTGGGGCGGAGCACCGAGGACTGGAACAACTATAAGGACTTCTTGGAGCAGGAGCGGGCCGCGGTGTACACGGTGTGCAGACACAACTACGAGGCGGAGCTCCGCACGACCTTGCGGCGGCGAGGTGAGCGTCGTTGTCCCTCCGCGGAGCTCACCCTTGGGGAGTGCCCGAGTCTTTCCGGGCAGAGGGGCGCGGCAAGGCCTCAAGGATGGAGCCCTGGTCCACCCCAGGGGACAGGAAGGTGGCAGGGGCTTGGGGATTGGGGGTAGCACAGGAGGGGCAGGGATCTAAGGCAGAGCAGGAGGATGCGCAAACGCAGCCCTCAGTTCCCTGCAGAGTTGGGTCAGGCTGCCCAGTGTGTTCCAAGCCTCCCGGTCCTTTGGCCTCGTCCTCTGCTCTGCAGGTTCTTGCCTAGTGCGTTATAGGTTTGCCTCCTCGTGCCTTACCTTTGCTAAGCAGTTCTCTCTTCCCCTGCTTGCCTGCCCTGCTAGCAATGCCCCACCCAGCGAGACCCACGTGCCCAGCTCGCGCCACAGGAAGATTCAGACTTGGCCTGATGGAGTTAGGGCTGTCCCACAACATCCCGCAGGGCCTCCAGCAATTACAGTTGTGAAATATGATATTTTGACATTTGGCTTCAAATTATTATTCATTGTAATTCTCTTTTCTTAAATGGCTTTCATCCATGGTGGAGCTCTTTGAGGTGAGAGACTGTTTCAATGATTGCATGCCTGGTACCTGACACATTGACTGGTATTTGGTATGAACTCAATGATCTTCGGTTAAATTAATGAATAAACGTACTCAGCTGCCCATCCACTTAGGCTCAACAGAAAGCAGAGGTTAAATAGAGCCTTAAAAATTGACTGAATTAATTCTTTTTCTATTATTTTGCTTAATGGTTTAAACTCTTATTGACTTGGATCTTAAGGTTTGTGAATGCAGTCAGGAAAAAAGGTGTTTGCTGCAAATAAAAACAATACTTGCATGAAGTTGTAAGGTAGTTTTAATTTCTTAGAAAAGCTGAACAAATGGCACAATGAAAAGAGCAGACGCTTTGGAATAAATAAATTGAAGCTACTAAATTATTGAATAAAAATAATTTCAGGTTGCTTTTCACATGTAAACTAGCCAAAGGCACCATATGTCTGATAGACATTTGTGCCGTAAGTGCCCACCTGGTTATCTGGTGACTGACCATTCCAGACCAGGAAGATAAGAGTAGGCAGGCAGAATACAGAGGAAGGAAAAAAAAACCTAATTAAACAAAAAAGCATAAGAGACTGTGCTCCAAATATTGTAGTGTCATACTCTGTTTGGGCAACTATAACAAAATACCATAAATAGTGTATAGAATTCTGCTTCTGGTCTCGCAACATTAATGTCCTTCTTATATACAAAATATATTTATTCCATCCCAACAGTTTCAAAAGTCCTAATTTATTTAAGCATCAGTATTAAAGTCTGAAGTCTCATCTAAATGTGGTCTAAGTTGGATTTGTGGAAGATTCAACATACAAGTCATTTTGAGGTAAATTGCTCTTCATCTACGGAATTGTGGAATCAAACATGTTATACGCTTCCAGAACACACTAGTGGGACAGGCATAGGACAGACATTCCCATTCCAAAGAGGGAAATTGGGAAAACGAGAGGAGTGAGAGGTCTCAAACAAATCCAAAACTTTACAGCTAGAGAACAATCATTTTTGGCTTGAAGCCTTGGCTTGGGTTGGAGATCCCACTTTCTGGACTCACTGGAGCAAAGGTTGGGCCTCCACACCTTCAGGGGACACTGCCCTCATGTCTTTGGGCAGCTCTATCCTTATGACAATTTATTATGGTGGCCCCTCCTCTGCAGTGGCTTAGGGCCTTGGTCATGAGTCCAAGTCTTATCCCTGTGGCTGTGCTGCATATTGTCCTAGCAGGGGTTCTCTGACGGCCCCACAGTCACCAGGGCTGTTTCACTCTGGGCCTGTGTTGAGAGTGGCAATTCCAAAGATCTCCAAAATGCCTTTGGAGCCATTTTTCCATTGTTTTGGACCGTAGGTCCTGGATTCTGTTCAGATGGCTAATGAATCTCCCCATTGTCTTGATTAATATCACCTGGCTTCTGTTCAGATGGCTGATCCATACTAATCTCCTAGTCAAATGGTCCCTTGGCCACATCCATCTTCTCTCCAAAATATGCTTTCTATATTTTATAATACAGATACGCTGAGAATTTTCCAAATTTTAGGTTCTGCTCCCTTTTGATTCATAATTCCATTTTGAATCATTTTTCTATTGTCACAAAGTACTATAAATAGTTAAGAGAAATGAAGTACCTTAAACACTTGGCTTAGAAATTTCTTCAGTCTAATATCCAATGAAATTGGGGAAATTAAAATAACCGAATGACATTGAGTATATCAATTCACTAGATTGATCTTCATATTCTGCATATGTAGAATTAGTTAAACCACCATTCTAAGAAATGCATAATCTGATAAAATAAGTATGCAGATGGGTATTTTAATAACAAAGGGTGCATGGCAGTCTGGGAGGGGCCAGGGTCAGGACCCAGCCTGGGTGCATTGGTGGCTGTGCAGGCTTCAGGTAGCTGCACCTCCTGCACGCTCCTCACCACACTATACCTGACCCACCGCAGCCACTGGGCATGGAGTGCACCATCCACCCCAGGAGAGGGAGCTGGATGACCATCACCTGCTAGATGTGCTCGCCTACCTGGAGACCTTCTGGAGTTGCATGTGCTTCACACTGTTGGAGCTGGTGGGCTTGCCTCAAGCTGCTGTAAGTTACCAGACTCCAAACAACAGCTGCCCATGGGCTGCCAGGCCCTGCAGTGGGTGTCCTCTGTGAGTGCAGCTGGCATCTGCCCAGCACCTCTGACGCTGCCTCACCTCTGTCCTCCTGGCCACGTTCCTCATCCACGACGTGCAGTGGTCCTTGTTTTCCCACTTCTGATTCCAGGGGGAAAAGCAACAAACATCTCTCGATTCATATGTATTGGGATTCATGTTCTATACCTATAACAGCTACCTGCAGAGCAGACATTTGAGCCAATAGGCAGTGCGCTGATAACTGGGTAACAGATTTGGGTTTTTAAACAAGTTTTGTCTTGTGGCTAATTGGCATGCTGATAAACACCCATTCTGATTATATCCCAATGAATCTCAGAAAATCAGAGGAGGCTGGATACAAAATATCAAGGGGAGGCCTATTTGAACATAGAACTGTGGCCAACCCGTTTGAAGAAATTGAGTGGTATTGTCAGGTTAAGGCACTGACAAATCTGATGTCTGGAAAGTATATTTCCTGCATGGAAATAGGCCCTCCACAGGAGGTGACCTGACCTCAAATGATCCACCCACCTTGGACTCCCAAAATGCTGGGATTACAGGCATGAGCCATCGCTCCTGGCCCCTAAGAAGTCTTTACTGTGCTGTACCCCACCACATCCTACTCCACATCCCTCCACAACTACTATGCTTCAGGTGACTGGGATACAGGAGAAACACAATAGACAGCAATTCTGCTTTTCATGTATCTTTCTACATTTCTGGTTATCTCTATTCTAAAAAAATAATTTCTTCTAATAGGAGCCAAGGAACATCTTGTTTTTTCTCCCTCTATACTTTTAGTTAAGCAAGTTATTCACTTGTATTCTCAAAAACCCCAGAATTTTAAATATCTATGTTTTCCAAATGCTTTAAAATGTGTAATATCATAGAGTTGTAACATCATGTAGAACTGTTCATATTAACCATTCATATACCGTTTTCTTCATCCTGATTTTTTCTGCTTGGCATGCTCCTTATGATCTGTGTCTGGTGCTATCCATATTCAGGGGAAGTTTGTGGAAATGATGTACATCAGTGAGAATTATCTCAATTAATGATAAAGTATGAAGTCCTACGCGGGGCTTCACACTGTGTGAGTTAGCTTTAGAATTATTGGTATAGCTATTTGAAGTTTCTGTGGTCTTCACTATTCCCTCCAGCATGCTCCTCTATGAACACAGAGGTGTTTTCCTTGTTGTTTCATTTAGAATCTACTCCATTTAGTCTGTAGCCTCCAACTTTCTGCACAACGGACTGCAGAGTTTTTCTCACGCAATTCTAACTTACCTTTTATCTTGCAGAAATCTCTTGAGGTTCTAGTAGCAGACTGAATATTTTTTTTTGCACTGTCCTTAGATTTTACCTATTATTACTTTAAAAAATTTTATTTATAAATATATTTAGTAGGCTGGGGTTTTTATACATAGGATCAGAACACAATCAAACAGTGAGAGCCTAACTTGAGAGCTCAGATTTAGTTAAAAGCTAGTTCAGGCAAAGTCCTGCTACCAGAAGTAGATGATGGACCTGTGTGTGTGTGTGTGTGTGTGTGTGTGTGTGTGTGTGTGTGTGTGTGTGTGTGTTGTGTATGCAGCCTCCAAAAGATTTGGGGAGACATGGTCAACTTTCACCCTGCCTTCGGTCTCACTACCCATTACGTGTTTGACTACTTCCTAGTTGTTTTTGAGCCTAGGATTCTAGCTTTACACTTAGCAATGCAAAATAATAGTAAATTGACTCAAATAAGAGGAATGGGTATCATTTTGACACTGAACAACATGAGATTTTCTTTTGTCTGCTAAGGAAAACAAAATATTTCTCCTGGTAATTAGTGAAAAAGGTGCAAGGTTAAATCATGTAATTTTCCCCAATAATCTCTTAGTATTCTAAAATATTTAGAAACAGATAAACAGATTTGGGATAATGCTATTTAATATAAATACTGTAATTAAGTTGAATATTCTGCTAAGTGGTCATTATTATTTATATTAATGCAGGTTCTCTGAGAAAAATAGTCCATGAAAAGCATTCAAATGAGTTGTAGGCAACTTATATAACACAAAAATTTGTAGTTTTTCAAGTGTTTTGCATTTTATTATCAGTTCCATGGCCTCTTTATGGTCACAAAACCCAACAGTGGTTAAAGTTCCATCATAATAACAGAGGCTGGATGGGACTTGTAGAAAGTGCATCGATTTCATAATAACAAAAACTGGAATGTAAATACAGTTCTCGTTTATATTAATCAGCTGCATGACCTTGGACAATCGATGTATCCCATTTTTACCCAGCAATTTTATTTGTAAAATAGAAATGGTCTTACTTCATAATCCATTAATGTGCTAAAACTAAACTATATATGTAAATGCAGCTGTTGAATTAATCAGCATAGTTATTCACAGTATCTCTTTTTATCCCTTCAGTATCT